ACGTGTTTGTTGTTGATGAGGCTCCATAGTTATAACCGTAAAAAACAGAACTGATTTTCTCCTGAAGCTGCTGTTTCTGTTCGTTTTCACGAGTTCCCAGAACCGACCTGGAGCTCCGTTGGAGGCGATGCTGAGTCACAGATTTGGATCAGGTCAGAGGTCGTCCTGGTTACCTGCAGGGACGGTACCAGGCGGGTTGCTGCCACGGCGACGCCATGTTTTGGTAAAAAGGGCTGCAGGACGGCAGGCTGTAATTAGGCAGGATGGCCTACTGGGCCCTGCTCTGACAGCCCGATCCCAGCTGGACGCTAAAAGTAGACCAGCCCGAAATAACTGCAACACACACACACACACACACACACACACACACACACACACTCTCTTACTCTGGTTGTGGTTCAACTGCCCGTCTGTCACAAAATGAAGAGATGGTTGAACAACATTGCCACTTTTTTACTTCTTTTATTTTTAGTTTATTTACAAGATTCTGATTCTGAAAACATCTCTGAGTAAAGAACCAACTGAAGTGTTTCTTGTGACTCTGGTGAAGTCAAACGGAGTCACTGGTATTTATACAGAACATTTAAAACAACAGCCAACAGCTCAGAAGTGCTTTCCAGTAAAACAACAGTAATTCACAGTCTTTGTTCATACAGATGAGCCTAAGCTAATATTTGAGCACAGACCCCCTGTCGTGTTGTTTATGGGGATTTTTACTGATGACTAGATTCAGTTCAACCTTTATTTAAATCTGGAGAAACCATTGAGGTGTTCCTTTATTATTCTACACACAGCAGAACAGTTAACCAGGTACGGTGGTTCTGAACTGAGCCACAGGTTCTGTTGTGTTGAGGTTTAATGTAAAATGTTCCAGGTGTGTGTGTGCAGCTCAGAGTTTAGCGTCTACATGCAGGACTTTAAACGTCACTTCATCAAGTTGGCTTTCAGTTGGACAGAAGTTCTGTTGGTGGCTTGTTGCTCTTCACTGTGAAGATAAAATACAACAACACAGGAGTCCGTATGACAGACCGGCGCCCTCCAGGCTTATTTATTACACAGATTAACCTGACTAATTTGAATATTAAGGCTAAGACCCGACAGCATTAGTAATTATGGAGATTAACCTGATTCACTTTGAAATACGTTGCTATGACAAAACTAGACATGAAAACGCTTCAGATCCAGGATTCTCCTCTGAGCAGCCTGTTCAGGGTCCTTATTTGTGTTTCCTGTGCTGTGTGTTGGTGCTGAGAGCTTTAGAGGACCGCTGTGCGTTCTGAGGATGTTCTGGCTGCTGTTGGACACTCGGTTTCAGGGTTCAGGTCGGAGTCGGGTTCAGAGAAGATGGATGTGAATTTTACTGATGCAGTTGTTGGGAGGAATGGCCTCGATGACTCGGCCCTCCTGCTTTAGCTGCTCCGATCTGTCAGCCTGGTAAATCTGGGCCGGTGAGCTCACTGCACACAGCCCTTCGTCATCATCATCACCCCGGTTCTCTGACCTCACCCCGCTCCCTGAGGAGCGCTTGATTCATGCTCACCAGGTGCACCGGGCGGGAGGGTCGGGGCGAGAGCAGACCAGAGAGCTCCACAGGCTCTGCATTAACAGCTGCTTCCACACATTCATGTGACGGAGCCTCGAATTGCAGATCAGATGTATAAAATATAGCCGCTGAAAAGTAATCCTGCGCCTCCAGCCGGGCTCAGCGAGACAACAGAGGCAGTAAAAAGGTTGTAAACACGGTAATACTGTGAAATAAAGATCAAATCACAGGACCAGGTTCACGTCGTCTCCTCTCTCGTTAAGGCCTCCAGTCTTAGCTCCTGGTTTTAGCACCAGCAACAGAACTTTTATAAAGAAGTTATGAAAATAGTGACTAAAGATAAAATCAGATAATCCTTTATTAATAGTACAGCAGGGAGTTCAGTGTTCCAGCAGCAACGGTGCAGAAATATCGAAGAAATATACGAAAGTACTGTTGATGTTGTACAAGAACTGCACAGATTCCTCTGAATGTGGACGACGTTACTCTATAGGTGGATAAACGCTGATACTGCAGGTTCATTAATGAGTACAATAATATATAATACACAGAGTCTTCTAGACGTATAAAATACTGATAATACGTAGGTTCAAGTTTTAAATCAGAGTTTTTCTGTGGTCTTCATGTACAGGATTAGGACACGCATCCTTTCTTTGCTCTGGTAAATCAGAATCAGATTTATTGCCAGGTTTAGTTCACACAATACGAGGAATTAGTTCTGGTGGGTTGGTGCAACAATACATAGAGTAAATAATAAAGATAGAGTAAACAATAAACACAGAGTAAAGTACAAGATAAAAATATACAAATAGCTAAAAAATAAAAGTAACTACAAATAGAAATAACTTTAATAGTGCAAAGCAGAAGCAAAAGATATGGTGGAGTGAAGAATTAAAGTTACATTTAAATAAGAACCATAGAACTGTCGTATTATTGACAAGAATATCGAGGGTGCCGATATGCTGATATTTACATTTATACAGATAGAAGTGAGAATGTCGTATAATATTGTTTTAGTTTCGGCTATTTGGAAGTTCCACATGTTTTCTGTCGTTATTTGGAGCCTACATTACAACATTTCTACTCAACACATTACATTTATTGTACATTTTGGTTGTTGGTGCTGGTGGACCTTCTCCAGGTGATCCGTCACATCGTTCTGTCCTTTTCTAAACGTGCCGTTTCCATCCAGCCAGACGGCCATGTTGGTTCTGTAGATACAACGTAGTGTTGATGAGGAAACGAGGCGTGGAAGGATCCTCGTCTTCCATGTGAAGCTGCTCCACAGTGAACACGGTTCTGTACGTCCGTATGATGTGGCTCAAAGTGCAGCGACTGGACAAACATTAACTGACGCTGAGGAGCTGCTGCTCACTGCAAATACTGCTGCGCTGATCAAAACTCTAGTATGTTATGCAGTTTGATAAATATGTGGAGGAAGGCCTGCAGCGGAGAGAGGTTTTATGATTGATCAGCGATGGGTTGAAGAAAAACGTCCTAAATGTTTATCTGTGCACCAGCCCAGAGATGTTCATTAGCTTTAATAAAGGATGAATAAACACTGAGACAGATTAGAAGTCAGATGTTGAGCATTCTGTGATAATTTCCTCGTCAAGGCTGATGTTGGCGTCAGCAGATATGAAACGAGTCATCGATGTTCTGACCCATGTGTGTCACGGTCAGCTTCCTATAAGTGCTTCTGACTCACACTGAAATCACTGTTCAGGCGACACACTGATTGTGTGTCTGCGCTCAGTGCGACCCAGGTTTTGAAGCTGGTTCTGAGCCTGGACCGGACTTTATTCAAACGTCTGGTGCCGGGTTGTGAATGCTGCCGACTACCTGCACAGGTGACATATCGGCCGAATGACGAGTAACAAAAGACAGAACAGACTTTGTGTTTTTTGTGCCGTTTGATGCGGTTTTCTGTGGGTGTGTGTGATGTGTGTGTGATGTGTGTGTGATGTCTGAATGGACTCTGGTGTAGATCCACGTTGTGATCAGAAAATAGATCGATGTTCGTCCTGGGCGGTCGGTGTCAGATAGAAGTATTTATCACTCCATTAGCCGCGGGCTTGTTTACGGTGTGTGTTTACGGCTCACACACTCTTGCGTGTTTCTTCTGGCATGTCGGAGGGGATCTGGGGGAGGCCTGGAGCTGTGGCTGTCAATCACGGCGCCGGCCAATCGGAGCAGGGCTGGCTGTGATGTAATCTGCCTCCCTCCCTCTCCTTCAGCCGGGGGAGGACCCCTGGTTTCCCCGTCGTCATGACGACCTCTGCTCGAGGAAGTGGCGACACACCCCCTCCCCTGTTGCCATGGGAACGCTGGCAGAGCGCGCTCATTGTGTGTGTGTTTAAATAGCTGTCGGCCTCCATCAGTGTGAGCT